TATGTTTGACAATGTTTCAGTCAAAGTACTAACCTGTTTTACGAAAATCATATTATCGATTCTGCTGTCGGTGTTCAGCAGTGTGACCCACTAGGTCCAGCACTTTTCAGTTTGGGAATTCAACCCGTTATTTCAAATTTAAAATCCAAGCTGAATGTTTGGTACCTGGACGACGGTAAGCTTCGAGGTAGAGCAGATGACGTCCTCGGTGATCTTACTCATATTTTTCAAAATTTTAAAAATATTGGTCTTGAACCAAATAGCAATAAATGTGAAATATTTATATAATACTAGCTGGCCAGGCAGACGTTGTTCTGCCCTTTCCAACGATCTTTCCTATAAAAAAATCCTTAAATTCGCAATACAAAATATTAAAGGTCACTTATCGGGATAAAAAGTATCCTATCTTTCAAGTTGGACCAAACTGAACACAGTGTGCAAAATTTCATTGAAATCAGTTCAATAGTTTACGAGTTCATCGCGTACAAACAACGTGATACGAAATTTTCTTATAAAAAGATATGTGAAATATAGAAAATTTGAAATCTCTTCTAGTTCTAACAGAGACACTTCGGGCCCTGTGCCCAGCTGTGTGATGCATGTATAACTTTAACTTCCACTTTAGTTATTTTATGTCGGCTTTTACTTCTTACTAAAAACGTGTAAAAGAACATTATTTATCTCTGTCTTCTATGTAAGTTTCCATATCTTTAATATTTACTATACTTTTTATTATTTATATAAATATGTATATATATATATATATATATATATATATATATATATATATAGGTATGTGTGTGTATATAATAACAAAGTGCACACCTTACTATCTTTTATTTATCACATATCTTTTTAACTGTCCTACTGGAAGAAATTTCATAATGAGATAAGTAGCGCCCTTGTACACACTGTTCATTATGTTGTGTCCTTTCCTTTGTTTGTGTGTACATAAATTGTTAAATAAATAAATAAAAGTATTGTTCTTTCAAAAAATACTAAGTTACATTGAAATATAAACCGCTACAAATGCTCCTTGATGTAATTTCATTGATTTAACTTCTGTTTCAAATGTCGATACTGGGCGACCGAAGCGGGCGAACGAACGCTAATGCAGTGCAGCGTTGTTTCAATTTGATACAAGTTCAAACATGACGTGTAATAGGAATTGAACAGACATAATTATATATCGTAGCGCACGATACGGTTATTATCAGAAACAGGGCGACAATAATTGGACCTGAAAACGGGAACTAACAATATCGATACAGCACCTTCTGTATATGACACGTGAAGGCAAAGTTTGTACTCTTTTTTGAGCATATTATACGTGGTAGATCCATAAAAGTTACAGCCTATATACGTCCCAATACTGAGCACAGGCCTCCCCTCATTTCTGATAGGGTTTTAGGGCAAGGAAGTGTCCGCCGCGCTGTCCTAATGCGTGTTGGTGAACTTCACATTGCTTCGAAATATTTTCTTTTCTTATTTCTCAGACATGCAGGTTTCCTCACGATGTTTTCCTTCACCGCCGTGCAAGTGGTAAATCGGCACTTAAATTTGCAACTAACAATTTCAATGGTGCCGGCGGGGATCGAACCCGGGTTGCTCGCGTGCTGTGGAATGCAGCTACATTATGCTTGTAGCAAGAATGGGTCCCCCCAACCGAGGAAGGAGCACACTCTCACAGGATACCAGTGTTAAATAGCAGCTTAAGACTACTGTTAGGTATGGTATAGAGTGTAGAGTAGATAGCGCCTAGTAGCTCGACTCATGTGAAATAGTATAAGGGTTATACGTGGTAGAGCCATGCTGCAGCTATATTAGTAGTATAATTGTAGCACGGGTCGGCTCGACCGGGGAAGGACCACGCTCCCACAGAATACCAGCGCGAAATAGCAGCTTAATGCTGCTGTGTTTCGTAAGGTGAGTTTAGAGAGCCGGAGACCCTTTTTACGGAAACAACACGTCTGCATTTTTATTCTTAACCGAGGATAGATGCAGATGTCTACGAGCCACATCATCCACTTACCAACAGGTGGAACGTGTGCTCGTTTGTCACCGTTATTCTAGAAGAAATGTGAATGGAATTTGACTTAGTAATTTTATATTGAGAATATAGTACTCTCTGGGTAAAAGAAAAATATAGTGTTCTGTGCTCTCTACTGATAAATTTCGTTTGTTGATGAACGTCTAGAAGAGTATATAATTATGAAAGAAGAATAAAATTAGAATTTTAAAATGTTGCTAACTGAGTATGATACTTTATCGTTTATCGTTTTATACGTGATAGAGCCTTGCTGCAACTATATTAGTAGTATAGTTGTAGCACGAATGGGTCGACTCGACCGGGGAAGGACCACACTCTCACAGAATACCAGCGTAAAATGGCTGCTTAACGCTGCTGTGTTTCGTATGGTGGGTGTAGACAACCGGAGACCTTTTTTAATGGAAAAGAGGCATTCCATCTTAGTCCTCACGGGTGAAAACGCATCTGCATTTTGATTCTTTAATAAGATAGATGTAGATGTATCCAACTTCCCAACAAATAATTACTGGCAGATTATCTCAATGAGCTGTGAATTTTGTATGATTTATAATGCTCCTTTTTCAATGGTCTATTAAGTGTTTGTCAAAGCAAAAAACCGTTTATTTTATATTTTGTAGATATCTGTGTTTTATATAAAAGGTCGAATGAAAAGTTTATTCATATTTTATATACACATTGAAAAACAAAAGTCTTGCATTTCTTTTTCAAAGTTAATTCTAATGTAATTATAATATAAATGTGCGATTTTGTTCGACAACTTGTTGCCATCTTGTAGGTAGTGACATCATTCCGTTGCTGTAGAAATCTTGGGATTTTTGATCAAAAAAAAATGCGACCAGTAGTTTTGACAGTCCTCTATTGATGTTAACCATACACTATCCAAAGAATTCTGAAGAGACAGAAACAGGTGAATATCTGAAGTTACAAAGTTAGTACTATATGGTAGATGCATTAACATTTCCCAACCAAGCTCTCTCAATTTTTACTGAGTGGCCAAAGATGTGTGTGGTCTGGCGTTATCACGATGAAAGACCACTCCTTCTCTGTTGATCAATTCTGGCCGGTTTTCCTCAATTTATTGCTTGATTAGTTTTAGTAGTTAGCAATAGAGATGAGAATCGATGGTTTTGTGAGCGGTAAAAGCTAATAATAAACGATTCTCTTCCAAACCCACCATACACACAGCATCACCTTATCGCGTATTAATCCGGGATTCGCTACAGTCTGTGGATCTTGACTGCCCTTTGGCCATGATCTTTTTCACACGTTCTTGTCGTATGTGACCCACTTTTCATCAACAGTGATCAATCTTTACAAAAATGGTTGGATTCAATAGAGAATCGCAAATGAGTACACAATGTATTAGGTTTCTTTCAGTGAGCTCGTGTGGTACCCAAACATCAATTTTTTTTATGGACAGACTTTTTCAAATGGGTCAAAACTATTTTGTGGTCAATCCTTAATTCCTCGGATATGTCGTAACAACTAATATGCCGATCTTGCTCCACTTGCGCCGTAGCAACCGCTTACCATCAGGTGGACTGTGTGCTCGTTTGTCAGCCTATACTATAAAAAAAACGCTGTAGAAGGTTAACTAAAACAGATTTACCAACAGCCATTTTGATAAACAAAAGCTTACTAGCTGTACCCCATGGTTTCACCCGCATACTTATATTATGTAAGCATTCACCGCTGGTTTCTCTTGGTTTTCATCGGGTTATGCGTCGTTCGTGCGCCGAGCCGAGTGTTGAATTATTTTTATTTTACATTATCTCTCAAACTATACATCGAAATAACATATTATAAACAGCAAAGTTCTTCAAAAATCTTCATAAAATTGTCTTGATGATGAAGTAACTTTCTTTCATAAGCGTTAATATTCCACGCCGAATAATAACGCTCATAAATCACTTTTCAATTATATTTTTTTGTTGACATAAATATTATATTGTGGCTTATTTATAAGAAATAGACATATGGAACAGCGGACCTTTTTTCGATGAAGTAAAGATCAATATTTTTGTAGAACATTGTATTGACGCATCCATCACTAACCATTACGCTTGCGCATGTGGATAAAGCAGTTCAGGGGTGCCTTTTTCTTCTGACTAGCTTAACATATATCAATATTTAAAGCTAGCTGAGAGGTGTAGCATTTGTACCTCGTGAGTCTGATTATCATTAAAATTCAACAAAAAATTATTTTTCAAATCGGATTGGTAGTTCCACAGATTAGCGTGTTTAAAGAAACAAAAACACCCTTTCGCTTTATTATATTAGCATAGATAGATGTGAAAGTATACACTACATACACCATAAGTCTAGTGGGTGCCGTAAGTGCGACAGAGGGGGACTGAATCAAGAGATGGGCAGCAGCCATTTGCTTATATAACGTATAAGACAAAAACCTTAACACATTTTTATTGACTTTTTTTATTGATTGGACTTGTGAAGGGCTGCAGCAATGATGATGATGATGAAGGGTTTTAGGTAAACGTATTATAAGGTTAATTATTAATTATCATACATATTGCTGAGCGAAGAGAAAGATATATCCTGTAATAACAACTTTATTAACGTATTTAAAGATAATCTGGTATGAAAGTGTTATATAAGTGTTTTTTTTTTTAATGTTATTTGATTGTTATCTGTTTTGCTGTACATATCTTTATCTCTATATATAAAAATAAATTGCTGTCCGTTAATCTCGCTAAAATTCATCAATGTTTCGACCGATTTTGATGCTTTTATGTGTGTATTTAAATGGGTCCGTAGATGGTTTAGATTTACATTTCGACCCAGTAGGTGGCGCTGTCGTCGAGATCCAGAAATAAACCGTGCGAGGATCAAAGAAACGCATGCCCACCGGTGGGCTTAAGAGGAGGACTATTCGCCTAAATATAAGAGATTAACTTGAAAATTCTTTTAACAAAAATTTTCATTGTTATAGGTGCCACCAATCGACTACCTCCGCCAGGTTACCCTAGACCTGGGCGGCGAAGGTATCCTCGGCGCAGTCAGCGAGCGTCAGATGATAAGGAGACCACCGCCAACGCACACACCACAAGCTAGAAGCACTGTCAGGACTTTGATCAGGAGATTTAACGAGGTAAGTGGCTTGAATGTTTTACCGTATAACGTCGAGGTCGCCACTTTATGTATATATATATATATATATTTTATAGGGTGACAAACGAGCACACAGTCCACCTGATAATAGGTGGTTGCTGTGGCCAATAGACATCTATATTTATTCTCAATTATGAATCAAAATGCAGATGCGTTGTCACCCGTGAGGACTAAGATGGAATGCCTCGCTTCCAGTAAAAAGGGTCTCCGTTACTCTACACTCACTATAGGAAACACAGCAGCATAAAGCTGCTATTTTACGTTGGTATTCTGTGAGAGCGTGGTTCATCCCCGGTCGAGCCGACCCATTCGTGTTACAACTATACCAGAAATATAGCTGCAGATTGGTTCTACCACGTAGAAATTATTATATATTTTTAACAATACATACTAACTATGCTATAAAATTTACTAATATTCCTTTAACTTAATACAAACGCCAGTATGTTTTAAGTTGAAGGGAATATTAGACCAAGTGTATAGGATAGGGTGACAAACGATCACACAGTTCACCTGATGGTAAGTGGTTGCTATGACCCATAGACATCTACATCTATCCTCGATAAAGAATCAAAATGCAGATGCGTTGTCACCCGTGACGACTAAGATGGATTGCCTCTTTTCCAGTAAAAAGGGTTTCCGGTTCTCTACACTCATATGTAGAGAAGAGATACGGTCATTTACTGTCAATGCATCTTTCTTAGAAATTCATACGGTAGTTTTTAGGTGAATATTGAACATACAAATTGTCTACAGATTTATTGTAAATATTTTTCAGTAGTAGTTATTTCATCTATATAAATAGAATTATGGAGGTTTGCAGTTGTGCGCACATCACGGAAAAACTACTGCATTGATTTCAATTAGGTTTTATAAGATTTATTTCTTTGACACTTGAGCCTTATTTAAAAAAAAATTAAAGTTTTAAGAAACAATATTTTAAAAGCACTACGTGTTCAGTGATGTGTGTTTTCTTTTTTAATATATCAAGCAACACGGACGATGTCGCAGGTATCAGCCAGTTAAAAAATAAAGGCAGCTTCGTAAATATTTTATTACAGCTGTTTGCTGTAAAAAATAAATATTCGCTACAAAAATAAATGAACGGTGCTCAATAACCTGTGGCAGGCGGGAATCAAAGCGATCGATCAAACCGTGCTCTAGGTAGGCTAACCATGAATTACTTTTTTTTTTGCCGGACGCATGAAGAACGTGATAGAGCCACGCTGCAGCTAAAATATGGTTGTAACACGAATTGGTCGGCTCGACCTCGGAAGGACCACGCTCTCACAGAATGCAAACCTAAAGAGGTGATAGTGTAGAGAACCGGAGACCATTTTTGCTAGAAACGAGGCATTCCATTTAAGTCATCAGGGGTGACAACGCATCTTCGTTTTGACTTTTAATCGAAAATGTATGTAGATGTCTATGGGCCACAGCTTCCACTTAGCATCAGGTAGACTGTGAGCTTGTTTGTCACCCCCATTCAAAAAAAGGAAGCTCAAGGTCGCTCAGTGGGCGAAGAGGGCTATGCTCGTGGTTTTATTGCGTGATAAAAAGAAGAATTAGAAATGAGCATATCCGCAGTAGAACCAGAGTAACTGACATAGCCCAATGGATTAGTACGTTGAAGTGGCAATAAGCCGGCCATGTAGGTCGAAAGACCGACAACCGATAGGGAAAAAAGGTTCTCGAGTGGCGGCCTCGTACCGGCGGAAGAAGTGTAGGGCGTCCCCTAACTAGATGGGGTGACGACCTGGTATGACATGCAGGAAATCGATGTATGCGATGGCGCAGGACCGTGCTCTGTGGCATTCCTTGAGGGAGGCCTATGTTCAGCAGTGGTCTTGTGAAGGGCCGTTATGATATATAATTAAAGTAAGGTCGCGGTACAGGAATTTTTTATTTCTTTGCATTTTTTGACTAAATTCCCATTATAAAGAAGTTTTATTTCTATCGCAACTAAGATAGTTTTAGGACCGTTTGAACAGTATTTGTGATTCGAAAACCGAGTTTATTGTCAAGTTATTAAAGTTCAAATTTGTATGAATTGCAAGATTTTGAAATTCTTCCTGCTCCACGATTACGCCATAACCGTTATGATACATTACACATCAATTTTATAAAATTAAATCAATTGGATTTTCAACATTATTTTCATCAATTTTATGTGTCTGAACGTGACGATCACGGGAATCCAGTGTTTTCTCCATATCCCAAAAGTACTCAACGTGCCTAAAGAAATTTTCTTTTAAAATAAAACAGAGGCAGCCATAAGGACTACCGACAGAAGTGAAAACTCAATGATATATGCGTATACACATGTACACACACATAGGCCGCTACACGAGTAGTAGACATGATCGTGAAGTCACGAGCATGGCGAGGTCACCGGTGACGCGAACCCATAAGTTTTTCCTCTACCAAAAATCGACGCTCAAGATTTCTTAAAATTTTCTCTTCCAAAAAATGCAACGGTAAACTCTTATATTTAGTTCATTGATGACACCAATGAACTAAGGTTACCAACTTACAACTTACCGTAAGTAAACTCTACCACTTTGTGTGGTAAAGTTTACTTTTACGTACTTTTACTTTTGTTTAGTTTACGTTTAAATTGAAACAACTAAAAGTTTTTTTTTTTTTACCAACAAGTTTATCCGCATTAACATAAATAGATGGTTACAGTAACTGACAGAGTGTTTCATGCTGTCATACGGGTATTAGTCAATCGTAAAATATTTAATCTTTTTTACATCATTTATTAATTTATTACAGCCAACAAAAAATTTACATAATGTTAAAGTGACACAGGCCTATCTTTTCTGAGACGGTTTTAGTGCAATCCCTGTTGGCGAACTTCACAACATGTCTTCGAAATATTTTTTTCTTATATTTCAGACATGCAGGTTTCCTCGCGATGTTTTCCTTCACCGCTGAGCATGTGGTTAATCAGTACTTAATTGCAATTAACAATTTCATTGGTGCCGGCGGTGATCGAATCCGGGTTGCTCGCGTACTGTGAAATTTACAGCAAGCGCTAACCATCTGAGCTACCACGGCTCAACAAAGTCAAAAAAACAGATCCGTCCGGAAGTAATTTAATAAGCGGGTGATAACAGCTATCAATATCAGCGCTAGCGCGCTACTGGTGCTTTAGTTTGCTATGCGTGGACGTAGCAAAGCGACTGTACTTTACAACATAATTTTGATATTGTCTGAATCGAGGAAAGCTGCAGCATGGCTCTACCACGTATACTCGCTTTTAAGTAACGTCAGCTCTATAGGTTGACATATTTTAAAGTGAACTCCTTCTTTACGCACGTTGGGCACTTTTGAAACGGGGAAAACTGCAGCACTGGACTCGCGTGACCGTCACGCTCAGATGCGGGTAAATGCTGATTACATTGTTGAAGCGGAGGTAGGTTAAAAAAAACAGACGAATGAATGCCATCGTATTGTTTCATCTCCCTAAAACACAAATATCACTTGGCGCTGTCGATAGGATTCATCGGGAAAAGTGCATAAAAATATAGTGAATAGTTGATAATATTCGGTTATTGTAGTATAGTATAGTATAGTAACCACTTCGTCGGAGTAGTAGGCCCACCAGGGCTGAGGCCTGTGCAGACTGGATAGCTGCCGAATGAAAGAAACCGCGATTGCGGTCAGGCTCGTGTGCTTGCATGGGGCAAGCACTGCAGCCAGACGCAAGTGCTTATTGAAGGCCCTCGCTGCGGCCAAGCAAGGGTGCAATATTCAAGGCAAAAAGAAAAATACGAGAAACAAATGTAATCAGTTTTGCAACAAAAGGCGGTGGCATTTTTCATTTGAAAAAGATTTAACGACTGTTACATCTGGATATTTAAGTATAAAATGAGTTAAGGTATTTTTTTAAGAGCCGTGGTAACTCAGATGGTAAGCTAGCTGTAAATTTACGCGTGCAATCCGGGTTCGATCCCCGCCGGCACCAATTAAATTTGTTAATGCCATTATAAGTGCTGATTTACCATGTGCTCGGCGGAGAAAGAAAACCATCATGAGGAAATCTGCATGTCTGAGAAATAAGAAAAAAATATTTCGAAGATTTCGAAATATTTTTTTTACACGTGTTATTAACACTTGTATATATATATTTGAAAAAGTTGTAGAGCCTGCATAAGGGCTGGACGAGGCCAGTTCGGGCATTTTCTGTAAATGATTTTAAATAAAAACAATTGGATATAACTCATTTTCTTTTCATTAATTTCAGCATCTGTACATAATAGAACATGTCAAGTTTCACTGTTTGTCTTGCTCACACAGCATAGAATTCGTCTAAACAAGGCAAGCAGGTATTAAAGTAAAATTTTCAAGGGCGACCGATGTACTTACCTAATAAATACATGCAATCATAGAAGTATTAGGCTTAGAACCGCAGTAGGCGCACGCAAAGTGAAGCCATTTCAAGTTAGCCTATAAAGGCGTAAGTACGACTTTTGGCGCGTTAGTACCACAGAATACTTTACTCCTAGCGGAGCGGTTAGTACTCGATTCCCTATATACAATGTACTCTGTGGTACTCGAGTCCACGTAGTCGTGTAAACAGCTCGCACAATTTTTCAAAAAAAATGACGTACTGTACTGTGAAAGGGCGTCACAACTCATCACATAATCACGACACAAATTTAAGAATCTCATTTCACGGTTAAGTACTGCCTAGCATCTTATATTTTTGTAAAAAAACATTCATCACAACAATATAATAAATAATAAATTTGACAGACGCCAATATAATGAAAATGTTGCTAGGCATAGTAAACTATTTTACCCCATTTTTTCTTATTATTATAATTAAAAAAAAATATATATTGAAAAAAATAAATACATACCGCCAAAAGTCTCATTCACATATAAATAGGTATTTTTATTAGGGTTCCCATTTGCCACGAAAAAAAAAATTATGTTGATTTTATTTTGTTTTGATAATGTGCAGTTGTT